CCCCCCCCCCCCCCGCCTCCCGTGCGTAGTACTCACGTGAATGTCCTCCAATGTGCGGTGTTATGCCGGGAAACTTTGTTTGAAAATCCAGCACTTTGGTCCCAAAACTAATGACCAAACCCTCAGGAATGAAACCATGAGGATGATATCCAAAAATATAGTTTTTAGAAGGGTCAAGGTCCACTGTTTTCTCTAGTGAGATAGGATAATAATCTCGAAAATATCTGAACACAGCCAAGTCACCTACGTAACCAATACCGACTTTCCTTCCACCTTGCTTGGAGTTCTTTTGGTCTACAACCATCCATGCTAAGTACAACGCAGCAATGGGCAAGAACTGAGGATTGAAGTAGAGAAAATACAGCCCGGCGGCTGCAAACGCATACGTCACCCCTGCTATGGTAAACACATACAAGCAAAGAACACAGCAACCTTGGACAAATTTAGAGACGACATGTTGTAGTGTCATTTTGGTAGTCTTGTCTTGTTCGATCCTACTGCACTCCTCGGAAAGCAATCTTTGTGCTTGTTCGTGACTGAAATTCTGCCGGGCCTTCGCGTGATCTCCCTGCGGTGCGGCCGGACGTGTCACCAAGAGAAAATGGTGTCACAAAATAGTCAAAATAGTCCGACCTAGTCAAGTGGCTATGACGCGAGTAAGTGCTTTCCGACTCACTTGTGTGGAATGAAAGCGCGCCATATGTGAACGTGTCAACTACGCTAGAACGATGCGCCTGACGGAAAACCAGGTATATAAGGGATCAGGGATCACAGCCCAGGGGTCACAAGTCATAGGATCAGCTAATTTGCTTATGTTTTGGAAGGTCAGTAAGGGATTGAGCTTTTTGGAAACTTTATTCCGAATGAGAAACTAAAATACTCCATTTTGCAAGTAAAAAACTCTTTCCTTTTCAAAAATATTTAATCTCTGGCTGTTTACCTCTTGAATGCTTCCGTCACGCTATAAACGGTGTTTAGGGATTTCCTACTCATATTTCACTACATTGTATTGCATAATGAGGAAACATGAAAACAATGCGTTTTTAAAAGTATCCGTTTTCGTCTCAACCAAGACATTTTCAGCCACATTGGCGTTTTCATTTTGTTGTCACCTGTCCACACCAATCCGTTTTCATTCGAAAACGCATACTTTTGGATGCGTTTTCGCCCATCGTCCGCACTAAAACGCCTGAAAATCCTGAAGGAAACAACAGTATATGACGCTTTTTGCAACACCGTTTTCAAAAGCCTCCGTTTTTACATATCCACACTAGAAACGGAGAGTTTACAAAACGGTGCCTTTTTAAAAGGCTCCACTTTTAAAACCGTTTTCGAAAGCCACCATTTTCATCAGCGTTTTCGGTCTTTTTAGTGTCGACGGCGGGTAGGCGAAACTGCATCAAAAAGTCCGTATGCGTTTTCAAAAGAAAACGCGCTAGTGTGGTCGGATCTTGAGGCTACCAGACTCACATGGGGTCGTCCTGAGTTTGAAGTTCTTTTAGTGACTAAAAATAGATCAATTCTCCTACCAGACTTGATACCACGAAATGTCGTGTTCTTTTTTTTTTTTTTTTACCAAAATGTCTTGTAACTTTTCCATTTTATCGCATTGTTTTATCGTATATCCTACAGAGATAATGTGAATTTTGCTCCGTTTTCGTCCAAGAGAGTTTTTGAAAAAGTGTATAATGCCGGGACCGGGCATTTTTTAGAAGCACTCTCCCGTTCAATTTCTAAAAAGCACGAGATTTAAATAATTCCTCAATGCGTAAGAACAAAATGAAGAACTGATCTGTGAAGGAATGAAAATCTACCTCAGGTAAAGACGCACAACAAATCGCGGTCTGGGACACAAACCCCCGTCAAATCTCTTCATTGGTACAAAATATTAAGTGGTTGAATCAGGGATCAAAATTTGATTTTAGCTGAGAGAAAATATCCTTGGTTACGACCATGATATTTAGTCGAAGTCCATGCTTTTGACCACATTGTAACCTGCCCGGAACTAAGTCGAATTTTGTTTTGAGAAGCTAAATTTATTTATCATTTCACTGTTAATTTTAGTTTGGTTTGAGTTAGTCTCATGTTTTTCCATGGCTGTCCAACAGTCAAGGTCAGCCCACACATATCTTTCCTTGTACTCAATTTTGCTGTTTGTTTTGTCTATGTTCTCTAACTTTTTAACAATTGTTCTGACTGTAGTAATTTTTCGACCGTCTTGCTGACCTTGGTGTAAACCTCAACGAAAGTTTACGTTGTGGCGGGCTAGATTTCGTTTAAAACTATCTTTCCCCGGCCATTGTATTCATTGGCTGCTTGTTATTTGTTTGTCTTCGTCCAGTTGGTGTGTTTGGCGTTTGTCCAAGTTAAGCCAGGGAAGTCTTTTTAGTTCCCCTGGTCAGTAGACTTAAACATGTCTACAGTTTAGGTATTTAGCTGGAAACCTTCGAGATTACACAAGTTTTATCAGTAGCATCAGTAAAATCAGTAGAAGTTGCGCATCGAGGTATAAAAGTCGTCGAAGTACGCAAGACTCTCATGTACCTCTTCTCAAAATCAAAGCGGGTTAAGAAGACGACAAGTGACATCTGAGAAGTGAGATTCCCAAGGTAGAAAAATCCGAAAGAGTAGTCTTCCTGTCCTTACATTAGGCTGATTTAGCAAGAGAACGAGAACGTCACTTGACGACGGCGCGCGCAGTACAAATACCCAAATATGGTCAAATTAGAACAGAATCCAGGTTATTCCGCGCGTCCTGCAGTTGTCATCTGACGTTCCCGTCCTGTTGCTAAATCAGCCTATTAACTTATACAAATACGTCAGGTGCCTACGTAAAATAGCGGGCGATAATTAATTTGCGTTTAGCGTTTCCACTTGCGTCTGCAGCTCCGTAGACGAAAATTGGCGTCGTCATATTCTTCTAAAGGATTAAGCCTATCCCGCAAGTCTCGGATTCTTCGAACACGTCGAGTATTAGCCCATTGCTGTAGGCTTCTATATCTCAAACTTCCATGTATGACAAAAACCTTCACTAATAAAACGTTAGATTACGTCTAAACCTACTCATGACCGGGTCTAAGTTGCCATTGTTTGCAAGTCTGTGTTTCGACTCCGTTTAGGCGGGGTTTAAGATAAGTGACGTTTAAATAACCCGGTTTCCCAGTTGAGACCCTGTTTAGACCAAGACCTTCTTAAACGACGCCTAAACTTCGTTTAACTGAAATATTCTGTTGGTTTTCAGCTCGGTCTTAAGAGTTTTGTTTTCACTCTCCAAAGCTTTCAATTCCTTCTTCGTGACGCTGATCTGAAACAAGAGCTTTGCATTTTCATCATTTGTAGTTTCTATAATCTCCTGCAAAGCTTTGTTCTTTTGGTCTCCGTCCTCAACCCACTGTTGAAGTTCCTCTTCTATTTCGGAATGTTCCTTTTGAAGCTGTTCAAATTCTTTCCTATGATCCCCTTCGCAACAGGTGGAAACTTCATTGCAACTTTCACTCATGTTCTTTGCGTCAACTTCCTTTTTCTCTTTCTCCAATGCCTTCAAGAGAGGGGTGAATAGGTTTTCGGATCGACGGATTTGGCCTTTTTTAAAAAGAGCACGGATTGCGGCTTTTTGCGGTAAATCGAGCGGATTCGCGGATTTTGAAAACACAGTGGATCGTGGATCAGTTATGAATTTGGGCGCGGATTCCAGATTGTGCCTGTCTTGATGTTCGGATCTTGGGTCCTAAACGAAATTTGGACCATAGATCTTTCTTCAGTCTTGGTTGGTTTGTTTATGAGTTCATCCAAATTATTCTTTTTTCGAACGAAGCTCATTTAAACTCAGGTGTGAGACCGTTATTGGAATTGTACAGTGTTATAGTCGTCAAGCATGTTGCTTCTTTACTATTTGTGCGAAATTATCAATGGCATTCACATTTACCAGTTTACCTTTGGACTTTTACACTTCTGTTTCCGGATGTGGTTGTGGTTTCGGATTTGAACAAAAATATCGGCGGATCGACGGATTTGGCGAAAAAAAGGCACGGATCGGCGGATTTGCATACCCCTACAGTATTCCCCCCCTCCCCCTTCAATTCCCTCATCATGACGGCGATCTGAACCAAGAGCTTCAGATTTTCTTCATAAGATAAGATAAGATAACAGGTTTATTAACGGGTAGAAGTCGCTAATATACAATGTATACTAATTGGGGACACCTAACTACGATTACTTATCTAATAATTAATAAAATATGAAATACATGTACGTATGTAAGTACGTATGTATCTTTTCAATGATCTCTTCCAGCGTTTTGGTCTTTTGGTCTCCGTCCTCAACGCATTGTTGAAGTTCCTCCACTGTATTTCGGAATGTTCATTTTCAAGCTGTTCAATTTCCTTTTTCTGGTCTTCAACACAACTGTTGGAGACTTCATTGCTACTTTGAAGCAAGGTCTTTAGAACGATCATTCCACGCCTGATGAAATGTTCCAACTCCAGAGGGCCCTCCAGAGGTGATCCCGAATACTCCGGAAGAAGCCGAAAAGTACCTTTCCGTTTGACTTCCGACCGAAACTTCCAGAATCTTTGCATAATAGTTTGTTTTCGCTAGCTGATTCCTTCCCAAGTCCGATTAAGTCGTAGCAATTCAAAAACTAAAGGAGACAAAAAATCGAAAGATATCTTATTTCTTTATTTTTCTCGCAACATGAAGCGGGAAAAAGCAGTTTGTCGAGGTGACAACAAACTGAAAAGCTGCTCTAGCATAATTAAAAAACTCACAGAAGCTTGTGACGGTCAAACGCTTCTTAAGGACGGTGCCGACCTTTGACTTTCGAGCAGTTTAGGACATGTCTTTGGCAATCACAGATTTCATCATGTCATCATTCTAAGCAAACCTGACTGCCAAGTCGCTCTTCGCCCGGACTCTTCGCTCGGCATTCATGAATGCCGCAGGGTTCATCGGCAGAAGCCTCAAGTGCTATTCAACAAAGCCCCCACCACAGATATTCAAGAGTACATCTTTGTGCAAGAAAACGTCCAGTTTTGATCACAGTGCTATGTACTTGGTATAATTTCAGGTTGATCCTTCGCTAGCTGCTCTTTCAATTTTCATTTCAAGTGAAAACAGGAGCCATTATGGCTCCTGGTGAAAATGAAAACTTTGGCAAAGGATCAACCTGAAATTATACCAAGTGTGCAGCACTTTTCATTACAGTGCTGCGCACTTGGTATAATTTCAGGCTGATCCTTCGCCAACTGCTCTTTCAATTTTCATTTCAAGTGAAAATGAAAATTTTTATTGGTTTATATAAAATATGTAAACTCAAAAAAATTTTGCACAACGCGAAAAGGCCTAGGTACGAGTTTAGCGTTACAGTGTCACGCACGATAGGTAGGTAGCGGTTTCGCGTGAGAGATGACAAAAGGAGACAAAGGTAAACTACTCGTTCTTTTCATTCCAGTATTTACTCTCTTGCTACTCAACAAGATTGTGTGCTCCCTGTGACTGAATGGTGAAATTGTTTTGCAGTCAGTCCATCTTTGGGGGGAGCGTTGCGTGACATCCCAAAAAACGGCTGCGGAAGAGAATATCAGTCAGTCAGTTAACCCAAAGAATGGTGCAAAGAATGGCTACTGGAAAAAGCATTGCTAGTTGGCGAACCAAGTGCCTGGAGCAGACTATATGCACCTACCGCACAAAAGACGAAATTCCAACAACGATTGATCCAAACCATTTCGGAGACAGGAGGGCCTTGTTGAAGTGATAGGATTGCACATTTTTTGGAACTGATCACCAAATCAATTAATGAATATATATAACGGGCGTTAAAACGCTGGAACAGTCGTGTTTCATGTTCTTGGCGGTTAGAAAATTCGGGACGGTAATCGGCACAAATCCCCGCGGTTGAATACGAATTGCGGACCTACGTTGCAAACCAACGCAGATACGTCATGGCCGACTTGACCTGACCTGTGCTTAATGCAACGTTGGTTATGCAATACTGTGATCCCACGTCTGATGATATCTCAAATTGTCAGCTTTCTCGCCAGTCAAAAAAATCGATTACTTCAAGGATTGACTGTAATAGTTTTCTACCTGATACTTTCATCGGGAACATTGTTCATTTTTGGACCATTAATCTTCTACGTACTTTATCGATGTTGTTCAAGTTGTTTTGTTGCCAGAGTGACGCCGTCGGTTGGGACACCTCAGGCCTCACCTTCCTAGGGGGGTCTGGGGGCATGCCCCACCGGAAAAGTTTGAAAAACTGAAGTAGCTAAGATGTGAATTCCTTCATTCTGAGCAAAGAAGGCCGGCTCTGCACAAAAATTCCTACCGCTGGAAAGTGTTCAAAGCGAGAAGAAAGCAAACAAGGAGTAAATTACATATCCACAAAGATAGTTAATTATTGCTCCCAAATGAAATATTAGGAAAATGTATGGCTTGTAGTCTTTTCTGAAAAGTCTAGAAAATGCTGTTCCACCATCACTGGAAATTTTCAGAAATTCAAATCAGAATTTTTTTTTTAGAAGCCAGAGGCCAATGAGGATGTGCTGCAGTTCTTGGTTTAATAACGAAAAATCAGACAATAGTGATAATAGTAGTGCATTTTATACAGATTTTATATTCACAAATCAGTTAAAAGTTATATCACAAACTTACTTCATATAATGATTTTTATTATCTCAAACATAAATTTAATTTAGGCTGAAATTACACTTATACTGTAGGTAAATTTTTTACATTATACTCTAACCTTCAATAAAATTTTTAAATGTTAGTGCATTAACAGTTTATACATGAGTTGGTTAATTAGTCAATATTTCATTTTGCCCAAAAAATATCTCTTCGGTGAAAAAGTCACTTTGAGTTACGATTCTGGATGGCAGTTTTATAGTTTGGGCCCATTCTTCTCTCTAGAGTTGCCTGTCATACCCAGGTGAGGCCTTGACACGAAGAAAAGCCCCACTGGAGAAGACAGACTGGAAACTCTAGAGATGAGAATGTTTTAGGCCATAATGAATTTCCTTTCACCTTCATGTAAAAATGAGTCCTTGTATGAGACCATTCATATGAAAATGTCCTCAACCTACATGTACATGTTAATTTTTGTGCAAATCAAAATCATTTTCATATGAAAGGTTTTATACAGACTACGTTTAAAACAGAGGCATAAGATAACTCAGAAATGGTGTGTTTAGGAAGACCATTAGAGCTATTCGCCCATTATAAGGGTTGTTTTTGTCCTAGGCCCCTACGTCTTTCTAAGGTGATTTCGTGTAACAATCATTAATCATCCAGACCCCAAACAATCTCCAATGGGGGTGGGTGGGTGGGGGGAATTAGGGTCTACTTTGTCTGATGAACTAACTAACTATTCTTATCACCGTGTAATTTGTACAACTCATATGCAAAAATTCCTATTATGTAACGAGAAAAACCTGCTGTGTGATAAGATTGCTACACTCCTGGAAAATTTGACTTTTAGAAAAACTCTAAAGGCAAGTGGTTGTTACAGTTATGATAGAGAAGTCACAATGCATCTAGGCTTGTTTCAAATTCCCAAGCCATGTAATGCATTATAAACCATTTAAGTGCAGCATTCGCACATTTCTGTGGTTTGCCCAAAACCTGAACAGATGCACAATGTCGATAATTTGTGTTCACAGTTCAGTGCTAGTGATCAGGTCTTTAAGCAGAAGTGAGGCTACTGAAAATTGATTTTGTTGTCATTAGAAACCTTGCTACTTTTCATACGTAAATTACAATTCCCTTATCATGCTAGCTAGTTTCTAATATCTATCAACCAAACCTCAGTTTCATGCACAGGCTTGGTTACATTTTACAGAACTGTAAAATAGCATTTTACCTAAGGATTGGCCACCATGTATAGCTACTTTGCACTGGTTAGAACTCATCAGCGCAACTTAATTGTTTACTGCCTTTTACTCCAGAGACAAAGCTGTAGGTTGCTCTCAGTCCCACCCTATGCCATGTTGATGAGTTGACATTTTTATGTTGTGCATGCTGTACATAGTTTTTGCCACTTTTGAACAAGAAAAAAATGCATAACAACACACAAAATAAAATTGACTCAGCATGGTCATCTAAGGCTGTACCAAATGCATTCTAAATACCTACATTTACCTGACTAGCTCCTCAACAGTTGTCTTTTGAGTTGTCACTCAACCCTTCAGAAACATTGTGCGACAACAAAAACAGCTACTAAAAATACTATTATTTAAATCACTTCTTTTCATGTGATCATGCTATCGCTGCTGCTTGTCAGATGACATTAAATCTTTGTTCTAAAACTATTTTTCATGTCTTGAATACAATGCTGAAAAAAAGTGGCAAAATGAGTTACTCCTGGAGGTCAAGTCCCATCTTTGATTCATGTGCTTTACTGTTACAAGGCCAGAAGTCTAATCGAAGGTTAATCGATCATATGTAATATTTTCACCCAGTGGTTTGCCTTCTAGAAGATGTTTGATGTTCATGATAGAAGAATTGCTTTGACATCCCAGATCTAAAACAAAAGCAGATAATCTGGGTTAAAATTTGTACTAAAAGAAAGCTGACTTATAATAATTATTAAACTGAATCTAAGACAGAGACATTTGCCAGTAGATAGAGACACAGAGTAATGAGAAAGAAGGGATACCATTGAAAACTATGAGACATTAAAATGCTTTAAACCTCAAACAGTAAGGTTGAAAAATAAGGGCTCCGGTGTTAGCAGAGGCCCTTTTGATAATGTTTAGCGTGAGATTCATCTTACAAATCTACAGTTAATGTACATGTTCAACCCAAACAAGAGGGCCACACAAAGTCAAGTCGGCTGGATGAGTAAAAATTGTAGACTGTGATTTTTATTTTCAGAGGCCAAACATTAGACATTTTTGCGGGCTCAAGAAGAGCCCGCAACCTAGTTTGCACGCCATATCTCGATTTTGGAGGAAATTTGTTCTGCCAAAATCAATCGATAAATCCTCGTAAACCAATCAGAATCCAGTTCCACACGAACAAGAATATTTTGAAAGATGGCCGCCGAGACGGCCACTGTGCTAGATCTTCAAAGCGACAGTTTTGCATCATTGAAGTGTTGATGTACATTTAAAAGATTGAAAATGGAAAGAAAAAGTTTTAAAGAATACTCAGTTCTCGCTATGATGTCAAAAGAAGAGCAGCAACCGATGAGAGGTTGTTTGGACGATTCGATGCGAACCGACAGTGGAACCGAAGTAGACGCACATTATTAACTTCGGGATAACTATTATCCTCAAATCTACCATGTTCATTTCACGTGAATACTCGACAGATATGGCAAATATCGGACTTTGGCTGTCTTCACGTGAACATCCGAAGACATGTGCAACAGTAATATTACTGGATTCGCAAGCGCAAGAAGTGGATTTAGCTCTACTCGCAGCAGCCTTGTGGCAGCCTTACTCGGTAAGTTTTTCCGTTGTTTTATATTTGTACCTACAATTTTGCCACAGAATAAGATATTAGACATTCTTTTGCATTTTGGAGGACCTATTTAAGCAGTGGTGGCATGTTTGGCTCTATAAATTGGATTCAGAGCAGCCTTCCAATCGATCGACTCGTACGCCGCAGCACGTGGAGACTTCAGGAATGCTTTGCTGTGATTAGTGAACCATTTCTTGGCCTGATAAGAGGGAATCACATTTTCCGACAGCAACAACTTGCTGGCCCAGTTTGGCCTACCATTGAATCAAGCAGGGGCACCGTTTTGCCGAACTTACGTGTAGACCCAGTTTGGTCGCATAAAATCGCTCAAATTATGCTTCAGCCTAAACTCAAACTAGCACGGAAATATAATCCCAGTAACCCTATCAAATAATTTTTTTTAAAAACTATATTACAGAAAAATTCCCCACCAAATGAGTATATCATTTTAAAATGAAAATACTTGAGACCCTTGGGAAGTACATGCTCTTTCATTCTCCCTTCTCTAGTAGTTGTACTCCAATATATGATACTATACTCATCAATATTATTTACTCTTCAGATACCGATCCTGGCTATATTCACAAACTATCACCAATAAAGAAGGCAAAATCAGGAAATGAATATTCTACCTTTGACCTTCAAACATCCAGTTCTAAATTTACAAAAGTAGTTGGCTTCGATCGTAAAAATCATCAACAGGCACTTCTGTTCCAGAACGCTGGTACACCAATTCGAGTAATAAATGCAAACGAAAAGGATAACAACATATTTGTTAACAACCACTCAACTATTGTCAAGGCTAATTCTGGTGATATTCACTTTGAAAGCACACAACCATCAACTAATGTGCCAAGGAACTCCAGCCTGCCACATGGTAATGCTATTCAAATCTCACTCAGTCAGGTTAACTCGTTAACCAGAAATCAGAGAGTGAATGTTAGAGGAACAATCACAATGGGAGATGCTAAACCAAAAGAAGTAACAAAGAGAAATGGAAACCCAGGCCTTGTTAAAGAGGACTGTGTCATTGAGGACCAAACTGGTCATACAACAATCCACTTGTGGGATGACATGATTGAAAAGTGCAAAAACTCAAACAGTTATGAGATCACAGATCTAAGCATTAAGAACTACAATGGGCACACACATCTTGGTTCAACAAGAGACACAACAATCAAAGAAATCAGCATGCATCTCGACAACCCTAAAGGACCACAGCTGGTTACCAATATCCAGAAAACAGTAACAATATAGGAATTCATCTTTACAGATAAAGTGACTGTTTTCATGACCTGCCAAATCAACAGTTGTAAAAAGAAGATGCCATATGTAATTGAATCTCCTGTGTTCACATGCCCAAGTTGTGGCACATGCCAGAAAGTCAAAGGGGCAAAAAAGGGTGCAACTGCTCGGTTATGTGCTGAGATCAAAGGCAAACAAGTGTGGCTTACAGCCTTCACTGATGTGATGGAGAATTTACTAGCCAAAGTAAACTTATCGATTCATGACACTTCGGATAAAATCAAAGAAGCCCTACTGACAGTGGAAAATATAACATTAGTTATTGATTCTGTGTCAAACTTCATCCTAGAAGTTAAAGAAAATGATGCATGAATTATTTGTTTCAGACAATATTGTGTTAACTTATGTTCTCTTTAATAAGTATCCTTTAGACATTCAAAGCAAAAGGAAATTGTTATGGTTGACAACCAAAAAAAACATTCTTAAATGACAATGCAAATATAACATTAGTTATTGATTCTGTGTAAAGCTTGGAAGTTAAAGAAAATGATGCATGAATTATTTACATTAGCAGAAAATATTGTGTTGACTTATGTTCTGTTGCATAAGTATCCTTAAGACACTCAAAGCAAAAGAAAATTATTATGGTTGATAAGAAAATAACCACACTATAATGGCAATGGAAAATATAACATCACTTATTGATTCTGTAAAACGTCATCTTCGGAGTTAAAGGAAATGATGCATGAATTATTTGCATTAGAAAACATTAGTGTTCACTTATGTTATGTTGCATTAGTATCCTTTAGACATTCAAAGCAAACGGATATAGTTATGGTTCATTTAAGAAAAAAAGAACATCCTAAAATGACAGTGGAAAAACTGTCTAAAAGTTTATCTTAAAAGTTAAGAAGTTGATGCATGAATTATTTGCATTAGAAGACACTATTGTGTTGATTTATGTTCTCTTGCATTGCTACAAATCAGAAATTAAAGATAAAAAGAAATTGTTATGATTGGTAAGAAACAAAAATATTCTACATTGTAAACGGAAAATATAACATTAATTTGAGATCTCTAGTAAAACTTCATTTTGGAGGTTAAAATTCTTTTGATTTCTTTGCTAAAAACATGTTACTTTTAAAGTAAAGTAATAGAGTTGAAATTCTCCATGAAAAATTCCTGAGCTTTTGTTCAAATAAAAATGTTTTGTTATTATGCTTGATCTATTGATGACTCCTCTAAGTTACCCTACAGACACCAATTTCATTACTAAAAGCTTTCCCAATATCTTTAAGCTCACCAGGCCTTTAATCCCAGTTCCTCCTATACGGAAATGAAATAATACACAGATTCGTTCTTTTTAAGATAACTATAACTACCCAAAGTAATAAACCCATTTCAGTACCCAACAAAAGTTTTCTTGGAAATCCCTCCACTCAAAAGTGTTCTAGC